GGAAAGAGTAAAAATAATATATTGTGTGAGTTTCGGTTTAATTGAGAGATCTGGCGTGCTCGTCTGTGTGGTCATAAGGGGTGAGAACATTGCTGGTCACGTGACTTCATTCATTCTAAGAAAGAGTCCTAATTTAAGGTGGTTTTTCTAAGTTGTAGCTGTTCCTCTGCTGTATGCTGTACACCACCCCGGAGCTTGTACAGGAAATGGCCTGAAATAAGAACTGTCTGAGTCGCCCACAGCAACCAATCAACCTTTTTTTTTTTTTTTTATAAAGGACCAGCTGATTGGTTGCCGTGAACACCACAATAATTTTTTTACATCTGGCATAAATGAGGCACACAGGGGATCATAATATATATATATATAGCAAATGGAGAAAAGGGAAAGGAAAGCAGCTGTTGCTCCTAGCAACCAAAATGGCTGCTTTTCCTCCACTGCAAGTTAAAGCGCATGTCAAGCAAAGATCATTTTTTTCTAGCTTTAAATAGACAAGAAAAGATTTAGACCCCCCTGTGGGGTTTTATTGCTGTCCGGGGCTCCATTCAAGAGATTTAGCCTCACTTCCTGTCCTGCTGACAACGGTTTTTCCAGGCAGGAAGTGAGAGAAAATCTGAATAGCGATACAGACATAAATACATATCTGACAAGGGTTCTAGCCTTCCCCTAATCTACTAAAGGCAAGCATTTTATTTCTGTTTATGTTGCTGTTAAAGAGTTCCTGTCACTTCCTGTCTGTTAAAACGTTGTCAGCAGGACAGGAAGTGAGGGAAAATCTCTGTGTTGAATCCCAGGATAGTAGTAAGAACCCGACAAGGGTTCTAACCTTCCCGCATTCTATCCAAACAGAGAGAAAACTAAGTTTGGCTGGACATGCACTTCAACAAAGGACTGTAAAATGCGTCCGGTTGCTACAGGCAACAACTCCAGTGTTCCTTTACTCCAGCTTTCATTTGCTGGCTCCAATAAGGAAGCACGCCAATGGAAAAACGACCTCAAATATGTTTTAAGGCCTGGTAAAAAAAAGCTAAGTGGCTGTGTTGCCCATAGCAACCAAGTTCTAGGCCAGGATTGCAGTGCTCCCCAGGAGCAACACAGTATCAGACGCAGGTCCACATAACCGAAATTGTCCAAAAGAGGTGTGTTGCCCCTAGCATCCAACATCATGAAGCCCCATAGATAAAGGGAACCATACGGATCAGTGGCTGTACCACGGTGAGGCATAAAAGATTCAGTGCATACAATGCTGGCCGTATTTAAAGGGGCAGACCGTCTCAGCTTAACTGCTACATCAGTGGGGCATTCATTGTGGAGGGCAGGTGGAAGCCACGGGCATTGTGTGTCTCTCCGATGGCCATGCATACATACCCTTCGCTGTGCCACTATTTCAGTAGCTTTCTAACATCCTCGAACATATTCGTATTCTAAAATAGCCGAAAACCAACAGCCACGTTGCCAGGGCATGCTGGGACTTGTAGGCTTTCAGCTACACACCAGTCAGTCTCACCACCTTTCACTGACACCAACAAATCAATACCACGAGGAGGAGAAAACAAAAAAACAAAAACAGCAAGCACACTTTCACTTTCAAAATGGATGCCAGTGCACACCGACATAACAAAATGGCTACCCCATGGGACAAAAGAAGCATTAAGATGCCACGTGGGCCACCACAGACCAGAATTTCAGGCTCGTTTTTCACCATATAAGCTACACACGGGCAAGATCCAATCATACATGTATAGCCGGCACCGAGCTGCATGCATACATTTATACATTTATAATAAAAGGTTCTATATACAGTGCATTGTCTGCTGAAATGGAAGTTCTTCCAGGCCTGCTCAGCATAGTTAACGATCTGCAACACGATGTCGGTCAAAAACACGAAAGACCACCAGCAGCTGACCACAAACTTCCCCCCTTCTCGTAAGATTTCGACTTTCTGTAAATTGCAGAGTAGCAATGCTACACAGGGCCAGATTTACTCGACTCTCTGCTGCCCCAAGCCCAGGTTCTTCAATGCACCTCCCTATCCCCGCCCCCCATGGAGAATGGCAGACCTGCAGGCTGCATACAAGTCATCTCGGAGAACTGCAGGAGATAGGAATTCCACAGCCCTGTGGCCCCTCTACTCCCTGCTGGCCTCGTGGGAAATCCGGCCCTGATGCTACTACACCCATACAATAAATGATACTTTAACAAAAAGGAAATTCTTAGTGGCACGTGGAATAAATCTATATTTTACGGCGCCACCAGTGACGCATACGCAATTTATATGTAGTCTTACTACAAACGCCCAGCTCATCGGGTCCTTAAATTTATACAGGAGGTGGAGCAGATCGTACGTTAATGAAACACATTGAAAACATTGTTACAAGGAACGGATATTAAGTACGTGATTGACATACCAGCCACGGGTTTTTTTTCACAAGGACAGATCACATCTCTACAGCTCGCCGATATACAGTCTAAAAATTGCACTTTTTTGTTCACAAGAACTCCCAAATCACTGATACCTTATCAATCAATCACTGATACCTCATCAATCATCATTATCAATAATCACTAGTCCTCATCACACAAGGCAGCAGTATCACAGACAAAAGGTCACAGCCACGTGTTTGTTAACAAGCCAAAAGAATGAACAAATGGCAAAAAAACAGAAAAAAAAGTGTAACTTTCCGTCGCCTGAGAATTTAAGAAGATAACTTCCTAAGACAGGACGGGTCACGTAGCCGTGTGCCATGCAAACCCCCCGGGTGACATTTTTTCTACAATTTTTTTTTTTTTTGACACCTTGCACTAAACCTCAGGGAGAACCTTAAAATGTTTTTTTGTTTTTTTCCACAACTGTTATTAGTAACTCGTGAACTCACCCCGTTTCCATCGATATGACAGACTGTTTCTTATTGGCTGGAAATACCCCTCTTCGTGGTTCTGATTATTTTGAGGGCGCCCGATGACGCCCATTTATACTCCGTGGGCGGGCGCAGTCACAAAACCACGTGACCTATTTTTTTTTGTGTCATCAAAAGTTTTAAGGACGTTTTTGTTTTCAAAGCTTCCACTTTTGTTATGATGCTTTTGGGCCGGAGAGGTTTGTGATGATGACAATGGAGACGTGTTATAATGATCCGTGTCATGGGTTTCAGTATTAATAGCGTGTGTTTTTCTACACCACGGGCCTGCAAACCTGTGTATGCGAGATGGCCACATTCAAAACTCCAGCATGTGTGCTGCTGGCTTCAAACGGAGCCTGTCAGAAAAAGCAGAACACACATGTGAGAAGCTTCAAGTGGCAGCTGTTATTCTCAGAGCCCCGGGCTGCATGTTAGTTTCACAGGAGTGATCGGTGGCTTGCTGGGATGTGTAGTTCTCCAAAGGCTGCAGTGCAATATTAGGCTTTTGTAGATTGCTAGTGGTTTAGGTCTCTGGTGTCTCCTGCCCCCCACCTCCTCACCAGAGAAGTAAATGAAAACCTTTATGCCTGAAACAAGTTCTTAGCAGGGGTCCCCAAACTTTCTAAACAAAGTGGCAGTCCACTGTCCTCATGCCTTTTTTTTTTTAGGGGGGACAGACTGTGGCCAGTGAGAGCAAAACATGTGCACCAAGGGCTAGTAAACTGCATGCACAGGACCGTAGTGATTGGTGGGAATAAAAAAAGAACACCTCTGGTCAGTGAGAGAAGGAATATTGCCCCATCACTGGTATCAGTGGGAGGAATAGTGGACCATCACTGGTATCAGTGGGAGGAATAGTGCCCCATGATCGATATCAGTGGAAGGAATAGTGCCCCATCATTGATATCATGTGGCCCTCGGGCTACCAGGGGTTGAAAGTATATCTAAGCCAAAAGCTTTTTTTTTTAGTTTGTAATGCAAAGGACCCCTGTTTTTCTTTTTCTTGCTGTCTGACTAATTGGGGGATTCCCTTTCCCAGAGAGGAAGCAAAAGAGGAAGGAAGGGGAATCTCTACAAAGTGAAGGGAAATCCCCACGTAGGTCGTTGTCAACAGACCAGGTGCCCCCATTGTAAGATAATCCCCTCAACCCATGTTTTGTTGACAACTGTAAAATGATGGATTTCCCATCACAGCCTGTTGTAGCCACAAGGGTCACCAGTCCAGGACAGACAGGAAGGATTAAATCAACCTAATGGAGACACAGGCAAAACCTGACATGGGTTTTAACCCTTCCACACCCCACCCCCCAAAAAAGTTACCAGGACAGACAGAAAGGGTTAATCTACCCAGTGGAGACAAAGACAAAACCTGACGTGGGTTTTGACCCTTCCACACTCCAACCCCCTCCCCCCCCTACACTTTAGGAGATGCACACCGGATGCGCTGGGCTAACACATAGACAAGTTGAAACTTCAAGAAACGCTGCACTCCTCCCCATATATTCTCAACCCTCTAACGCGTTTCACCAGTACAGCTTACTCATAGAGCGATGCGATGGAGCAGAATAGTGCGTATCTGCTCCGTAAAATCTTTTATCACCATTGAAGACCCCTGGAGTGCGCCATTTCTTCAAGTTGTGTTACTACAAGCGACGGCCCGCTTATTGCCTGCACCTGGGATAGGACTGTAGTGGGAAGCCAGTTTTAGGATATGAGCGGTGCATGTTGTGGAGCATAAACAAGGCAATTTGCCTTTTTTTGTTTTTACTATGAAGCCAGTTCACAGCGCCGCTTCGCATGCAGTACTTTATTTCACTGCTGCGCATTGCAACTTACTAGGCTTACTAGGCGATGAGCTGAAATCGGCGCATTGCACGGCTTTCTTCTTAGCGCACACCAGTAATAGTGACAAGGAAAAGGAAAAGCCGGAGTTCAGTTTTTCCTGAAGTAGAGAAATGAATATAACTCTCATATCCAGGACAATAGAAGCCACTTGCACTGAACTGCTTCAGCCAATTGCATTATAACCGGATCTTATACGCGGCTCCGCTCCGTCCTGAATTTAGAAAGAAAGTGAGAATTCAGCTCGTTAGGCCCTACCTGCTCCCTCGTAGCAGAGAAACCTGTTGAAAATTGTTGCAGACAGGAGCGGCATGTTCTTGCGAAACAGCTTTTCCACTGCCCGAGAGCCGTATAGCGTCCCCGTCTCCTAGGCAATAACATGGGGACTACTGACGGAACGGTGAAAGTGTGGCTTGGTTTGTGTGCTCTTTCCTGGAACACTGAGCACATACAAACTGGGAGTGTTATGCTTGGCTTAGAAGAAGCCTCCGAATTCCAAAGCACATGCCAAGTTTAAAACACTAAACTCACTTGTGCCTATTAAGCGCCGGCCGCCACCGCCGTGTGACGTACAACGGAGAATCCATAATGTATAGCGCGCTTCAAACAACAATCATTAACCTTTCCGCTGCCAAGGCCTTTTTTGTTTTGTTTTTTGCACACATGATAATCCACATTTTTGGCCTGAAAATGACTTCAAACCCCCAAACATTATCTATTTTCTGAAGGCCAAGACCCCTGTAGAATAAAAATGGTGGCAGCTGCAAATTTTTACGTTGCACGATATCAGCGCAACTCTTTATCAAACCCAAAACTTTAGTGAAAAATACACTTCAGTTAATTTAAATGCCCCAAAACACACTTAAAATACCATTTTGTTTTACAAAATATAAAAAGATGAGGTTACGACGAGTAAACAGATACCCAGCACACCCAGGTAAAAAATTGCATGCGTTTGTGAAACGGCGACAAAATTCAGTACCCCAAAAAGTCCATAGATGACGCTTTAAAAGCCCCTACAGGTCATCAGTTTAGGGATACTCCTAAATTTTGGCACCATAATTATTGCTCTCACTCTGGCGTGCGCGGCGATACCCAACAAGTGTAGACCGATCGTCGTTTCTGTATGTGTGCGCATGTTTACGTGAATGCGCCCACACTTGCGGGGGACTTTAAATATTTTTTTAATGGTTTTTAAAAAATTGTAAAACTTTTTTTTTCTTCTTTACTTTACTTGCTATCACATAGGGGGGCTTAGAGGCCCCCCCTGTGTAATAGCATATTGGCAGTGACAGGTCCTCTTTGAGGTGACACTGGGGGTCTAAAAGTCCCATAGTTTCACCTTTCTACTCTAAATAAGCTGTTTAAGTGCAGATCGAGTTTCAATAGCTTATTACTGGGCTTCAGGAGCCTAGCATGGACAGCTCAGGGACCGGAAGTGATGCAATACACGTCACTCCCAGGTCCCATAGAACGGGTAGGAGATTGGTGAATGGAAGTGGGCTGGCTCATGTAAATATCAATATGCCTTGATGAGCAGGTGTCAGTCTGCAGGAGTGGGCATTCCTAGGCAGGCTATATTTGCATGCAGATTGCCTTAAGGTGCCCATACACCTTACGACCATCGCAAGACCTTTGTCTTGCGATGGTCGTAAGCTCATTGAAAGCTCGTACGATCTGCCCATCTTGGACGGGCAGATCGTACTTGCGATCAGCGAAAGCCCGCCCCGCTGCGGGGCGGGCTTCCGATGACCGCAGTGAGCGGCGGGGTTCTGATCACTGCAAACCTGCCCGTTCGGCAGTTGACGAACAAGCAGGCCACTAACCTGCCGAGAATCGTCCGATTCTCGGCGGGGTTTTAAGCCTGCTTGTTCGACGGAAGACGTGCGACCGTACAGTAGAAACGGACGCCCGCCTTCCATACACTGTACGATTCTCGTACGATCGCGGGATTTCCCGCGATTCTCGTACGAGAATCGTACAGTTTATGGGCACCTTTAGGCAACATTGGCATGGTACACTCAGCATCCATGATTCAGGATGGAGAGGAGTGACCTTTTTCTTTACTGAACGCCTGCCTGCGTCAGCTGGCTTTGGGCTTCCGTCAAAGGGCAAATGCAGTGCGCATCCTGGTGCATTCCATTGCATTTGAGATTAACTCTGAGATCACCCAGATTTCATTAAAGGGTGTATCTGACCAGCAGTTGATCGCCTTCTGATCTACATTTTTTTCTCCTTGTAAGCATTCTCCACATGCATAAGGGCTTGGGTTGCCACCTGTCCAGGATTCACCCGGACGGTCCGGGTTTCATGGCAGCAGAAACCCGGGCACAAGATGTCAGGCAGACAGGGGCAGCCAAAATTAAGATGGGGCTACTGCCCCCACCCACTGAAATTAGACTCAAGTGTGATATTTACATACGAATGGATGACGCAATTTATATATGAAAAAGCCATCACTCATTCTCCCAAAAAAATTGTACGCGCGTCGCTAGAGTGTTCGGGTTTCGCTTGAAGAAAAGGTGGCAACCCTAATGAGGCCTCATTCACACAACTGTCCCAGGCCATATGCTACCAGACTGTATTTGCATGAAAACCTCACTAGGCAATGCCCATATGTGCTGCTGAGCCTGCATGATTGAAAGAACTATAACCCAATGAATGAAAGGGGCAGGTCAGGGACAGTGAGGCTGGAGAGGAAAGGGCTAGACATCCTTCAGCCAGGAAGTGAGACAGGCTCTATGTGACTTGCTGCAGCTTCTAATGCGCATTATGAGAAGCTCACACTGTGCAGTGATATCAGAGCAGTTTCAGTCCAGGAGTGGAGCCGGTACAACTGTGCAAGACTGAATGGAAGGCCGGAGTTTAGCTCCAACATTTCACTCCACATGTGAATACCTGCAAACTGCCGCAGACAGTGTCAACCAGTCCTTGATTTGTACAGACTTCCTGTCCACAGCTGATTGCAAACACCTGGCTGTACCAGCCGCAGAAATACGGTGATCGGGGCGGCGTATGGCTCGGGATAGCAGTGTCCTGAGCCATGCATGCCGATGGCGCATAAAAAAAAAAATGCAGATCAGACGGTGATCAATTGCAGGTCAAATACACCATCAATGAACTCTGGGTGATCTCAGAAGTGATCTAAAATGCAAGAGGAATGCCCCAAACCCACTGACACAGGCATATCAGGCAGCTGCCTAGTAAACAAAAAGGTTCCTCCTCTGGCTCATCTATCGGTGTGTGTAAATTTCATATTGAGCTATTGAGATCCATATACAGCAGGCTTTTACATTAAAAAAAGAAGATATATTACGATGTGAGAGCTGCTCTTGCTTACAAAATATTCATATACAAAACATTTATACTCCTATCATTAAAGGCAGCCATAGTGCTATGGAATAACTTGACAATTATCTGCTTGAGTCATTCTGTTCACATCACCGCGGATTTAACTCCTCTACCTTGCTCCATCATGGAACAGTGTAATTACTCCAGTGTGGCAAAGTGACTTGTATAGGTTAAGTGGTCTGATAAATGATACTCAGTCGGCAGGGACAAGGACCATGGTAAGAATCCACAGTGCAGTATTTTTGGATAAAAGCCTCGTACCTGTAAAATAATGGCGGTGTTTTACATCAGGAAACAACAAGTGAAAGACATTCGCACTGTGTAAAACAAGCCGTGTAGGCCTCGGGGACCCAGTAATCTCACACCACCTTGCTTCTCTCTAAACAATTAGTCAGAGCCGGTGTCTTGGGACAGCTGTGAATGAGCTGAATAACTGATCACTTTACAAGACTCTCACTCATACAGGAGGCAAAAAGCACTGCGGAAAGAGGATTTGTAAAGCAGGAGCTTTCCATATGTGTAGGCTAATGAGATCTCAACCCTATTAAAAGGGGACAGTTTAGTAACTGTACAAGTTTGCATACATTTAGGGCTCATTCACATGGGCGTGCAAATCCGTATTGCATGAACGCCCCGTGCAGACACCTGCTCCTGAAAGGGACAGGTATTGCGTGCTGCATGCACTGTCTGTGTCCAGGTGTGTGTCCGTGTGCAGCTGCATCCTCCTATAGGGAGGTACAGGTGGCTGCATGCATATATATGCAGCTCCTGTGCCTCCCAGGAACAGGTCTCTGCATGGGTGTGCACGATGTACCAGTGGCAGCACCAGGGTGGGTGTCACCCGATGCGGCCGTCGCGCATGTGTTATGACGTCTGTAGTGTGACGTCATCACTCATGTGCGGTGATGTACTTCACTGTCGGCAGCCATCTTAGGCCCCGTTCACACTGAGCGATTTATCGCATGGTTATTCCCGCGATATTGCGGCTATTTACCTCGCGATATCGCTCTCCAATGGATGGCAATGGGGCTCTGTTCGTCGTTGTCGCGGGTCGTGCGTCGCTACAGCAGGACCCTTTTTGGAGCGGATTTTGCCGCGAATCTAGCTTGCTCAATGCAAGCATTTGTGCGATATGGCGCAAAATGCAAATCACACGACAAACGCGCGGTTTGCGAATCGCTCAGTGTGAATGGGGCCTTAGTGATGGACGGCATCAAAGAGAGGAGAGGATACTGACCCGGCAGGATCAAGAATGCCACCAGGTCCCCCTCTCTCTCTCTCGTGCCGCTGTCGGGCTCTCGGGCCATGACCAAGTGCCCAACTTTAAGAAGGGGTGTCAGACCCTCTGAAGGTGTCACCAAGTGTGGGCCGCACCCACCGCTCTCCCCTTGTGACGCCACTGTGCCATACGGATGTGCATGCCAGTGCGAATGAGCCCTAATTCCTGAATTGTCACAATATACAGCAACAGTATCTTTTTTTATTTCAAAAGAGAGCCATCTTCTATCATTAAAAAGCAAGCAAGTCAAGTGACTGTGCCTCAGCTGAGACGATGTCATCAGGCGACCACCTCAGGCTGGATTATTAAAGGGACGGCCCTGGTGCAGATGCATGAATGAGTCTGGGTTTCTGTGACAATTCTTTTATTCTTCGTTCTGAAGTTTATCTCAAGGTAGCTGACTGAGCATTGGATGGGGAAGCGTCTAAAAGGTGTCCAAACACCTTACGATTATCGGACGAAACTTTTCGTCCGATGATCGAATAGTCGTACGATTTTCGTACGGCAGCCCAATCCTGCCCCGATGATTGCAAGATTAGTTTAGCCGTAATTAAGGAAAAGCACTTGGACAAATTGAGGTAATGGATTTGCTGTTTTTTCGTTAGCGCAAGCGCAGTGTAGATCGTACGACTTTTGACGGATGGAAACGCCAGCAACCTTGAGAAAATCGTACGATCTAGCAAAGTTTTCAAACATGCTTGACCGTC